CCAGGGTGACCAAGGGGGTAGTATGCCTGCGTTGCCTCCCTCTGAGGGGTGTACCCGAGAAGTTAACACCGAGTGTGAAATATCGTTATACTAATAGCCGAAGTTGAGTTCGAGCTTACGCAGCCCTTTCACCCGAGTTTACTACGGAAAGTGGGGCTCGTCGGGGTTGTCATCTTTCTCCGTTTCGGTTTAACTTCGTGACAGATTTAATTGTTGGGAACAGCATGAGGGTATGAAAACCCCAACGAGGAGACTAGGTCACATAGGCCGTGTTAGGCTCCCTGGTTGGGGACCTCGGGACCATGGTCACCGATGGTTAGAGACACTGGGTATCGCGCACAGTGGAGCTCGTGCATCCANGTGGAGCTCGTGCATCCACTCACTATCCCCCTATCACTGTTTTATATGAATTCTCCATCTTCCGACTGAGTTTGCTTTCAACATTCCAGACAGCAATCAAAACCGGTGCAATAAAGTACACGATTAATGGTTGTAAAAACTGAACTGAGGATAGTCGGAAGACTCAGATTATTTCGTGTTATTTTGAAGAGCGATAAAGACGTCGAGAACGTTTTTTTCTTTCTAGTTTTGGGTCAAATAAGAATATTCCCTGATCGAATGTAAGCACTGTCGTACGAACCCAGTAGATGCCCACGTGTCGGAAAATAAACGAGTTGTATTGATTCACGGAGTCTCGAAATTAAACGATCCAGACGATCCTATATGTCGAAAAAAAAGATTTTAAAGAATAAAGATTCGTTCAAGAGCTGATTGGATGCCACAATATTTTCACCACTTCAGTCAGCCGACTTCCATGATCAGCAACCTACCGTGGAAACGGCTCGAGGATTATGAAAGTAACCCTCAGTACCCCGGAAATAGTTACATCCGTCTTGCGGGCATGGTACCAAAATAGAAAAGGATCAACAGAATTACATCTCAGACTACTGTTGCGTAGTAAGGTGAAACAGTGTCCGCAGTTAAAATATGGGTCTAAGACGCTACTTCTTCCAAGTCAAATTCCACTTCCCTCTCCTTCTTCGCGAGCCCATAGCAACAGAACCGATTCCCAAAAAAACTACTGCTAGCCGACCGCAGAGTGGTCGGCATAAATGACAATTCGAAACCAAACGGATTCCTAAACCGACATCCCTAGCTTACTTTTACACAAACGCACAAGGCTTCCTTAGCAAATTCCTCGATGTGCAACTGCGCTTGCAAACTGATTGGTGGGACCTTGTTGCCATTAGCGGAACTTGGTTGACTGCCGATATTCTCAACTCTGAGCTGCACCTACCTGGAATGTCCCTGCTGAAACGTGAACGTTCTACACGAGGTGGCACTGTGCTGCTATTTTTCCGCAGTAACCTTCAATGTGAACCACTGTGATCTATACCATCGGTGAAGAAACTTGGCTACTAAAACCACGATACGATAGGCCGACGGTTATCGAACACCACCGTCTACGCAGCAGTGCACGAGTTGGGTGATGGAACGGAACAAGAATACTAAGGTTAGGTACACAAGTTTAGATACAAGCGGTCACTCACTGGAGCAAGTGATTGACCTCTATGGTTAAGTTAGTTGGGGTGTGTGCTACGCATGTCGCCAAACAGATTGACAAGGTGTGCCGAGGCAGACAGTGGGCGAAAAAAAGCCTAGGGCGGTCAAACTAAGACCAGGCATAAGAAGGTATAAAAACCCTGAACAGGATAGTCAACCATATAGTCCGTGTTAGGTTTTCTTGACGGGGACCTCGAGATCATCGTTTAGAGATGCTCAGCGATATGACTGAGGGTCGTAAACAATGGTGCATACCTTCAATATTCTGTCAACCGCCGTCTATGTGAATTCTCTACCTTCGTTTTGAATTCGTTCCCAACATTCCAATCTTCGTTCTGCCATTTTATCAAAGTGGGCATTCAAGAGACAGGAGCCAAAAAGGCCGCACAAAGGTTGCACATACAATCAAGGAGTAAAACGTCTGGAGGTAAGAAGAACATCCCACGACAGATTGATTTCATCTTCAAACCAGATGCGAGATTCACATTGAGCAAATACCTATTTGTTCATTCATCCGGGGTTATTGAGATTACTCGGGATGTGGGGAGGTTCACAGAGTGCCAGGGAAATTCCGTCCATCTGACCCACCCAGCCACACACACACACACCATGTACAAGGGCCGTGGTGGTCTATCGAGTAAGGATCGTTTTCAGATGATAGGCCACGACACGCCAGAAGCGTTAGGGAATTCGTGGGATTTATTTATTAATTTATCAGTCTGACAAACAACAGCTACAGGGAGAGAAAAAAAAGACAACAATTCGAAAGAGCACAAAAGCAAATTAGCCTGAACTAGGGCAGACGAAGTGTGAATGAATGAAAGGGCTCCTCCCGGGGGACGAGGCTGTGTTCAATCAAACTGTGTAGATTCCCCCCCCCCTGTGGGCCCGCGGTCAAAATAAGCAAAAACTAAGGACATTTCGGTGACAAGAGGAATGTAGTGCGAGTAGTCGCAGGTGTACGCTAAACGAAGAAGGGACGGATCGGCGAAACAAGAACGCGGTGAGTTCAGAGCTGATAATAGTCAATTTGTCTCACTTTTATTTGCCTGCCACGTTTTTATTTCTGTATTGATTGTCTGTACTTTTGGGTGACTTTCACACCATCACTACTCACTCTTTGATCATGACTCCAGCCTGGAAAGTGATCGAAATCTAACCGTGACAAATCTGTGCATGCACTTGTTCCTACGTGTTCCGTGCTCAGACTGTTGTCCTCCTATGTGGTTTACCTCGCCCTGGGGGAGAGACCGATCAAAAAGGGGCAATATGAACGTTCGAATCAGTGTCCATCAAACAGTGCTCGTGTGTCGAATCAGACAGGACGAAAAATGTGCAGACTCCGATTGTGATTTTGCACGGAATTTAATTCACTATACATCGTGTGCTCTAATCTTGCCCATCAGAGATTTGGCGCCAAACCCATCGGTTGGCAGTTCGGACTCCAGAGTGGGACAGAAAACAAATAATGAAAGAGATGAGGGAACTTCAACACAACGATTGTGAATTATGTGAATTTATCGGACAACGATTGCGCGTCGCATGGCCGGATCAGCATAGTTGAGGTGGGGATCTAGAGAACCCCGGGATGATCAGATGCGCGCACTGACACGAATACGCAGGTTTTAAGTGGTTGAAATAATTGCGAAATGTGTTGCACGCGCTAGTGATAGACTTTCTAGACTGTGTGATACCAGTTACGGGAATCGCAGCGCTCCAACTGGTGCACCTTTAAGCTGGAGCAGAAACCTGCTGCGCCGAAGCCATTCTTGAGCGCACGGTTAAATCAGTACACACCTTCGGAAGTTCGCGATTTTAGCCTGGCTAAAGACACCACAGGCGAATCTCGATGGGAAGTAAAAACAGCTCTCTTGTGTTGTGTGTTATCCTTTAATATTTTCCTATTTGGGGGAGGTGAGCGACAGTTACGAAATCTTTGTAGAACTAGGACAAGTGATGGGGAGATTAAACTTGAGCGAGGCGGAGGGGGGTTATGATTCAAATCGACCGTTGGTCAATTAAGTTGTTGGAAGACAAAAACCCAAACTGAAGAAAGCAAGTGCAGTTCATGTACATTCCGATGTACAGATTCGTGGTTTTTCCCTTCTTTTCACTAGCGCACTTATTCAATGACATTCAATAGCATTGTCTACGACCAAAATGTGCGAATTTAGAAAGAAACGCGTCAATAAAGTTGCAGTTCCGATGGGGCTAAACAACTTGTTTTGGCGATAGGGGCATTTGTGACAAGAAAAGAACACATACTTGTTCGTGGGACAGTCGTCCATTCCCGAAATGGTCCATCTTCGTTCACGATCTTTTGAATCGCTGCTCTGACTGTCCGTGCTCCCGGGTGATGACATACTGGAATGATCTTCGGAATCGGTCAGCGCATGACGTCGATTGCTGAACCAGCTACGCAGTCGACCGTCGGCACCGAAAATACGCATAAACGACCGAACAATGTCGTGCGAAATATATTCTAAATGATCGACAAATTCGCGACGTTTATTGTCCATGTTTTGAATGAATGAGGAACCACGTTTCATCATAATTTCAAAATTATCCTGGAATTGTAGTTTCTTTTCCTGGATAGAAAAAAATACAGAGGGGAGGAAGAAGTATCGGCTAAATGAAATTCCAGTGGAAAAATCGATTCATTAAAAGTAACCAAGAATGGGAGACGGGTAGACAAACTGAACTTCATAATCAGCTCCAATTGACTTCAACAAGAGCAGCTCATACCAAGTGAAGCTTCTTTATATATCAAGCCTTGAATTTTAGAATGATCAACGGCGTACATACGCCGTCAAAGAAATATACTCGGTACCGGGTCGGACGACAATAAACCTTAAAATATGGGGTAACGGCAAAACGATTCAAAACGTGAGACCCAGGGAGAACGATTTGTATCGATTGATTATCATGCGGCTAAACGATGCAAAATACAAACCAGCAGAAATTAATGAATTTTTCAAAAAAAGATAGGCTGCAAAACTGTGAGGCGCAATGTAGGTAGACGACATAATACTTGAACAGTGAGGCAATCAATAGTCAATAGATGAAAATGCATCGAAAGGTAACGCATGTAATTAAACCTGAACAGTGTTAACGGCATCATATCCAAATTTGGAACGGATGTCTTTGAAGAAATTGTGCGTCGTGCTCATAGTACTATATCCTTATCGGAATGTTTGGATTAGCTACAACGAGAGGAAACGAACAATTTTACTGGTTGACGACACTTCGACCCTCTTGGAAGGCCTTTTTCAAGTCAATTAACAAGCGAACATAAAACAAAACCTGTGAGAGAAACCGTATCAATTAAAGGTGCTTTTGATTGGTCTAGGCGGAGGAAAAATTGCGTTGGTGTGTGTGTGTGTGTGTTTGGTAATAATTGAGAGCATGGAATTTGTGAATGAAACATGAGGCCAAAGAGCTAAGGATGACGTCATGGAAGATTGGTCTGTGAGCAGTTTTGTGGTGTGTTCCTTCCAGAAGACGACATTCCCATGAAATCCAGGCATATATATATATATATATATATATACACACGGTACACTGACTAAAACGCCCTCAGGAAGTTCTAATGATGATGATACCACAGTTTGAGAGATTGGGTATTCTGTCTGTTTGACAGTGAAGTAATGAAAGTGGCATTGACAAATGATGATCACTGACAAAGGTGCTTTACGGAATTTCAGCCCAGCTGGGCATACAATTTTATCATTGGGGTGGGGATAAACTCTTCTGATTGCAGCTAATGTTGACCGAATTCTGTCAAACAATGTCCTAACAGTGCCAAGTTTGTGAAAGATAATCATTCACTATTCCAAGTTACCAATTTTTCCCCTTCCGACGTTCATCGGAACCAAACACCGTCTGTTTACTTTACAAGTTGTGGTCACACGCACCAACTCAGACAGCGTTCTCCAGCAAACCTCATGATCGATCAGACTGACCGACCTTACTGCCGTTCTTTCAGACAGTAACGCTTCCGATTTCTGTGCTCATTTATGTCTCGTTGTCTCGGTGCCTCAGAAGCAATTTATATCTGCCTCGATCGATTCTTCTATTCACACCTCGAACAACTTTGTTGTTGCATAAACACAATGCGGTGCACATTCTCTTTCTAGATCCGTCGCGGGTGAAATCCACAGGCTTGACGACTCTTTGTACGATCGTGCTCAGCTTGGCAACAAAGGCAGACGTGAAAATTCCTCACACGAATCTCTGACAACAAATCCTTACACCACGCACCTGCTGATGTGGCTATAGATGGTCTGAATCAATAATGGAACCGCACTCTTTACCCTACCTAATGGAATGGACATGAACACGACCAATTCGGTTTCCAGCGCTGACCCTGCCGAAATTGACCAAATATTGATCCGATTAAACCATTGCAAGTTCAGTAGCCTTGATGGAATTTCATCGGTTGTCCTGAAGGGACTCTGCAGTCTTGCTTTTCCCTGTGCTGTGTGAACTTTCAACAATTGTATTTCGCAGCAAAGTGCTCGCAACTGCCAAAGAATAGCCTCAATCACCCTAATAGAGAAGAAGAGTTCCTCAAAATGTCGTTCTATTGCCTGCACCTCAGCAGTTTTGAAAATGTTTGAAAGGTTCCAGATAAAAAACCCATCCAAACAGTTCAATGTTGATGACCCACACACCAGCTTGTATTCATCCGTTCCCGAGGTGCAAGGGATGCCAGTTATTTATCTCTCCCACTTTGTTTTATTCATCCTGGATACGAAAAGCAAAGGTGTCCGCATATGTTTTGTAGACGCAAGTGAAGCTGCGTGCAGCAGTGGAAGAAGCACCTATCACGTGACATTTTACACAAGGAACTGTATGTATCACTGTTTCTAAGCACCACACGAACCTATGGGACGAGAAAAACGTGAGCTTGTAAGTTATTCCCATAATAAACCTTTGATTACAGTGATGCCTTCAACACGGAGGACAGGCAAATACCGCTATCTTCCGGCCGCGTTCAACCTCCTACAATTGGTGAAATATGGTTTTCAAAGATATAATAGTCCACTAGTTGAGAGGTACTCTTCCAATCAGATACACCTCACACTCCAGCATTAGCGAACACTCTGCAAGTTCAGATCACACTCGCGGAGAGGTATCAATGCGTTGTGCTACTGTGTTTGTGTCATCATAGATACCAGTTCCAACGTACACAGTGGTTCGATGATCATCCAACTTCATTCATTCCCAGAATCCGCTTGTCTGAAGACCAAAAACAAACGGAGCAGTGAAGTTTAGCCACGACGATCAACTGGGGTCGGATCATTCTCGTAGTTTCTATTTTGTGACCTGGATCGATTATCTCTCTCGATCTCGATTCGCAGATGTTAGAAGTCACCGACAGCCAATCTCCGGACCCAGCGTAGGGCATTCTATTCAGTGGTGCTAATACCGAGCAGCTCAGCACAGCACCACGACTACGTAATGAGTAGAACACGTCTGCCAGGATCTGTGACGACCAGATTGACGAAGAAAATGACACAAATGGGTTTGACAGCCCCTATAAAAAAAATGCCAACAATGAAATATGGACGTCACGTGGGTGTGATGGAGCGCTTGGTTGTTGTTGTTGATGCTTATTTGTTTGGTGAAGGTCAGTTACACCGCAGCGTGGACCGCTTGAAAGAGATTCGTCTGCAGCCTGAACGAGTGAAGCACGAGTTACAGATATATTGCCTTCAGAGCACGCACACATACACGTGACCGGAATAGCGGTGAACAGTGCATAAAATTCATTTGTTACTGACACAACACCGTGTCACGTTCAATCACAGTAGGAGACGTTTTGCGTGTGTTTCAGTCAAATATTGACAACAAGGTGATTATCAGTCAGTGTTGCGTGAACTTTGAGACAATAGCAGGACACAATAGAATCATGTCTATGCCGTAGAGAACAACTTCGTACTAAGTGTGTGCTGTTGCTCGTGGTTGATTACCAGTCTCACGTGACCTACAAATGCTCGAAATTGAGGAGAGGAGAACTGGCAAAGTAGTTTACTTTACTTTACTTTATTGTGGCTGGCTCCTTGGAAAGAAACCGGCTTCAGACATGATTATGATCATGAAGATCCTTGGGAGTTTGGTATGAGAGACGTCACCAGCGTCACTCGCTGGCAAATAAAGCGCTGCGTATGACTGGAAAGCGGTTTCACTGTTCAACTAGCTCAGACTAGAAGTTCAGTTTGTACAATCATTAACTATGCACTTTCGTGCATCCGTTTTGATTATTGGCTTTTGAATGAACAGTAGAAAAAGATAGGAAAGTTGAAACAGAATCGACAAGAGAATGGAGAATTTCAGTGGACTAAGAGGTTGCAATAATACTGAGTAGATGCACGAGCTCCACTATTTGCGACACTGAGCCATATCATTTAGAGTCTGTAACCGTCGGTTACCATGATCTCGGTAGACTTTTATTCGATGCATCTTAACTGCGAGGGCAGGAGAGAGAGAGAGAGGAAAAAACGCGATTTGACTGACGGTATTGCGCGAGTCCGAGTTTGATTAAACCTAAGAGCATAAATGCGCTGGCGTTTCTGTTGTCTTGCCTGTTTTACAGTCTTCGAAATTTGATTCTCGTATTGCACGCGGTACGTTCAAACCGACGTGTGCGAGTTGAAAAACGTTTGTTTATTCTCGAGAAGAAAAAAATGGATTTCCGAACGAGGTTTGTCAAAAGGACGCACACGTTTGACGCAATCCCATCAGATTCTCAGGTTCATCGCCCAGTTTCGGTATTTTTACTGAACCTATTGGGTCTTAATACACAGGCTGTCTGGGCTATACATCACATCCTGATAGCAGTATCGTTTGAAGTCTATGATGACATCTATAACTCACCCAATGAGATAATGCATATAAAAAGATCGTCAAGGTAATTTCCATCGCTCTTAAAACAGTAGCATAGACGCGGTGTGTGTGTGTGTGTAAAACTAATATCAGATTGAAATCAAACCCACCAATCAAATAGTAAAAACTCCACTCTTTCAGGAACAGCTTATGGGTGTGGTATGCGATGAGACAGCGCTACGCCATGATTGTTGTGACTAGATTGGATATGGAGAAACTCCGTGAAATTTATGCTCCTTTTTGACTTCAGTGAAATTCACAGAGAATCTGGTCTGAATTCGGTGATGGTGGTTCTGGTTGTCCAACAATTTGAGGGGAATTTGCATCAAACTGCGGAAAAACTTATACAAAGCAAACTAGTAAAATGTCTGTGAAACTCATTTGGGGCACACAACCCAAAGATTTGGAGCTCAACTGCCCCTCGCCACACCGGTAGGTACATGAAAAAATGACAAACCTTTTTGGTGATACGTTTAAATTAGGACGAAACTGTCGTCCCAGTTGGCCGAAAAAGTCAATCAATCATTGGGCGGTGGTGGCCCGGTGGTAACATCACCAAATTATCACCCCGTGGATGTGTTCGAATCACCACCACCGCCTGACTTCCCGCCCGTGTGTGTTGAATGGTAGCCCTTTGATGGGCCGCTTCTCCCTATACTGAAAATGGTATTTTGTGTATTCAATAAAAGGAAGTAGAAATGAAAACGAAAAGAAAGAGATTATTTGGTTATAAGCAAACGGAAGTATTCTTCCCGTGGAGTGCCTACCGTAATAGACAATTTTTTTCCAGCGAACCTGTATCAACTAAACCCTGGAGGGTTCATTCCTTAACAAAGGAATGAATGCCGTAGAACTATATGAACCTCCTGAGTTCACTCTACTCACATGCATAGCGTAAGGGTCTACGACGAGCTGAGTAAGTCGTTCGTAATTAGCAGCGGTGTTCGTCAAGGCCGTCCTCTTTCGCCATTCCTGTTCAATTTCGTCATAGACCAAATACTGGAGAACACATTAAGTGGTCTGCAAAATGTAGGTATTGAATGGGCAACTGGAGAAAAGCTATGCGATTTGGAGTGCGCTGACAACATTATCTACTTGTTCGAATGTACGGAGGATACACAAAGAGCACTTGACAGATTAGTAAGTTCTGTCACTCCGTTCGGCATGTGCTTTGCAGCTTCAAAGTGCAAAGTGAAACTACAAGACTGGGTGTCATCGAGTTATGTTCTGAAACTAGACGGTCAGGAATTAGCTGAAGTTGACTGCTTCTCCCACTTAGGTAGCTGCGTGACCAACGACGATAGCACATCGAAGAAGACAACCGTCCGCATTTCCAAGACTCGAGCAACGTACGCAGGACTCACACACCTGCGGAGGCGACGTGACGTGTCACTGAAGTTGAAAAGTCGCGTATACTGCGCGACCGTATGATCAGTTCTACTTTACGGTTGCGAAACCTTGAATTTGCAGGTAGAGGACACCCGTCGTTTAGCAGTGTTCGACAATCGATGCTTACGTAACCTGGCCCAGGTTGGATGGAGTGAGCGGGTTAGTAACTTAGAAGTAAGTCGTCAGGTGTTTGGGAATAAATCAAAGAAGAACTCGCTATCGCATCGAATCCAGTTCATTAGGCTCCGTTGGTTAGGACACGTCTTGTGTATGTCCGACGATCGCCTACCGCAGCGCGCCTTGTTTGCAGTGGCTGTTGCAGGCTGGAGGCCAGCAGACGACGTGGAGACGAGGCATAAAGAAATGCATAGAGCGAATAGGTAGAGTATTAGAGTGTCTCTCGTCTTCCGGGTTGGGGTCCCAAAGACTCCGAAACTGTATGGTTGGAGACACTGAAGATCATGGCTGCGAACCGACAGCCATGGCGATCAGGCTGTCACTTCTTATCAGACCAGAATGCTTGAAATTGTATGTATGCACAATTGGGTTATGTATCTCTGTGTGTTGACCAGAGAGGTTAGCTTTCTTTCCCCCGTCCCTAAAAGTAGGCCCAATCCCTGTCTTCCTTACACATTCTTACTTATACCTTGTGTGCAATATGTGTTTTGCAGCGACCAGTAAAGTTCGCTTCACTGTACTACGCTGTACAATGATGATGATGATGCTAGTTGTACGTGAGTGAGAAGCGATGGGAAGTGGGAAGTTCCATCCGTGGGATATCGGTTAACCCGATTCAGAATGACTTACTCCCATGATCAACAGCTTACCACATCTCTCTCTCACACACATGGAATGAAGACTGCAACGAATGGGGTGTTAGTTGAAATAATGGAATGACATGTGACAAGCGATTCAGTTCTGATGAACCATGTTCAGACCAGTGTGCTTCAAATTGCAATCGTCCTGCTAGATTAGGAAAACAACTGGTTGTCAGTGAAACAGTCTAAATCAGTTTTCGTTTGTACAGCCATGCCGTTTCGTGTGCCGGTTTAGGGGTTGCTGTGTTTTTTGCCCAGTTGGATGAACCAATAGGAGAAAGACAGGAAAGTGAATAGTAGAATCGAGGAAAAAATTAAGAATTTCAGTGGACTAAGAAGTTGCAAGATAATTGGGAAGAAGCACGAACACCACTGTTTACAATACTCAGTCATATCAATTAGCGTCTCTAACGACCGGTTACTATGCGCACAAGGCCCCCATCGAGTCAGAAACGAATCCAGAGAAAGATCGATCGTTGCTACGCGCAAGCCAAACTTTACCGTGCTGGCTAGGCTTATCTTAGGGTTTTCCAAATCGGATTCTATGTTGTTGTTGTTGTGCTTATAAAGATGAACGAGCAGTCCTCACTCAATCTTTGTCCTGTTCATTCAACAATGGAGTGCAGTAAGCAAAGGAATCATGGTTGCTCAACGTTTTACGAGGCATATCGATTGTCTAGAACAGATAGAGGCTATACTGTGAGACCGGAAGTCAACCTGCACAAATTGCAGTCACATTTGGCCAGATTTGAGATGAGTATTGGAGTGCTCACATTCTACATTGTTTTATTTTGGTTTTTGGAACGCATCATTATATATGCATATGCGTATATGGACCGGGATTGTGCCTC